TCTGACATTGGCATAAATAGACAAGTAGAACAGAATATTCAGAAATAAACCAACACATATATGAACAACTGATTTTCAATAAAAGCACAAAGGCAATTTAGTAGAGAAAGGATCTTTTCAACAAATAGTGCTGGAACAATTAGATAACCATATGCAAAGAAATGAACTTTGAGCCATTCCTCACAACATACTCAAATATTAACTCCAAATGATCATAGACCTTTATAGAAAAACTAAGCTATAAAACTTCTAGAAGAAAAACATAAGATTAAACCTTTATGACCTTCAATTTGGGACAGATTTCTTTAATGTAACACCAAAAGTATAATCCATTTTTTAAATTGGTAAATTGGACTTTTCTGCTCTTCAAAGACATTGTGAAGCAAATGAAAAGACAGCCATAGACTAAAAGAAACTATTTGCGGGTCATAAATCAGATAAAGTATTCATATCCAGAATAAAGAACTCTCAGAACTCAATGATAATATCCCATAAAACAATGAGCCAAAATCTTGAAAAGATACTTCACCAAAGATATCCAGGTGCAAAATAACCATGTAAGATACTGAATCCCATTAGTCATTAATGAAATGCAATTTTAAACCACAATGAGATACTACTACACACATATTAGAGTGGATAAAATTTAAAAGACTTACTTTACAAGATATTGTCAAGGAACCAGAGCAACCAGAACTCATACACACTGTAAGGAATATAAAAATGATAAAATCATTTTGGAAAACTATTTAGCAGTTTTTTAAAAAGACAGACACTTATCTACCATATAATTCAGACATTCCTCTTCTAGGCATGTAAGAAAATAAAAGTATATACTCATACAGACTTGCAAACAAATATTCACTGCAGTTTTATTTTTAATAGCTAAAAATTGTGAGTAACCCAAATGTCCATCAACAAGTAAATGGGTAAACAAATTATGGTTTATCCATAAATTGAAATACTACCCAGTAAAAAAAAGGAACAAAAAAATAGATAAAATAACCTGGATGCGTTTCAAAATAATTATTCTCAATGAAAGGAGCCAGATGTAACAAAGTAGATACTGCTGGATTGTATTCATACTAGTACTATGTCTATGCAAACCAATGTATAGCAACAGGGTGAGCAGATCAGTGGTTTCCCGGGGAAGGGATGGGGAGGGAAGGATTACAAAAAGGCATGAGAAAACTTTCGTGGGTGAGGTATATGTTCATTATCTTGACTGAGGTGATGATTTCTTGGATGTTTACATATGTCAAAATATATTAAAGTATACACTGTAAGCATATGAAAGGTATTTTGTCAAGTACACATCAAAGTTGTTTTAAAAATTGCAATTTGGTCCTGACCCACCTGCATGCGTGAGCGGCGTGAGATGATCAGAGCGTCACCTGATCTGCATGTCAGGAAGGGGAGAGGCTCTCTCACGGAAGATGACATGTACAGTGTCCACGGATTTTTTTGCTAACAATGTCTGCTGAATAATAAAAAATCCTTAGGTATACGGTGTCAAGACTATATGATTGATAATATGAGAATAAGAAATATTAGACAACAAACGAAAGCCCAGGTATTAGGATCGGCCAATAAAGAATATAAAATAAATAATATGTTCAATAAAATAGAGGAAACGATGGACAAAATAACGGATAAAGATTTTCACCAGGGAAATATACTGAGATGTCATTTTTAAGAAGAATCTAACAGATACTCTAGAACTGAAGCTTTCAGTTCTGGAAACATGGTGAACTGAGCTAATTTGGGCCCCTTTTAAACGTAAAACTTTTAGTAACACTGGATAAAATAGAACAATAGAAATAACTGAGCTAACCATGAAGGAAAGAGAAGTTCGCAGGTGACAAAAATAAACAGGAAACTCAAAGCCAGAAGAGGAAGCTCGGGGGCCGATGCCACAGTGACCTGTAGGGGAGGGGCTTTAATCTGCCTTGTGAATAGGATCATAATGTCCATTCAGGAAAAAAAGAGGTCATGCCTGATGTTCTCTGACTTTACTGAGACCCCCTGCGTGAAAGTTATGGAAAGGGCTGCCTTTTCAATGAGAGAGAGACTCCAAGAACTCCACACACTGACACAGGAAAGGGGTGAGGACACCGGGTCAACTGGGGTCTCGGAGAAAAAAAGTCTCCCTTTAAAAATCTAAGCCCTAAGCTCATGCTTCATGTGGATGTGGGATCCAAATTTATATTCCACTTATGACACAGGATCTCCAAGCAAAAAAAAAAAACCCACATAATTCCAAAAAGATCAAATCACTTGGAGCCTAAGGATAAGCAACACAAATTTGTTCCCTAGTGAAACTTTAATAAACCAGGTTCATGGGACAATCACAGGAAAAAAATAATATACGCTGAAGAGAAGCTCACACAACTAACTCCACACACACACACACACACACACACACACACACACACCTGACTAAGAACAGTCAGAAATAATTAACTGTGAGTAGAAGAAGCAAACTCTATAACCCCAGGATGATTAGTATTCCAGAACCTAAAATTATAAAACAATCTAAAAGAGAACATGAAATAAGTAAGGATGAATCATTATAAAAAAGATATCATGGAAAACGTAATGAAAAAATCAGGACATCATGAAAAAGCACAGATAACATTAAAAAAAAACAGAGTTTATGAAAATAAAACAATGATATATAAAATTCAATGGTTAACTAATAGGCTGTAACTTTCAATATCTAGTATGTTCATTAAAATTCAGGAGTTATCTCTAGAATACTTGCTTAACAAGAGAATACATACAAAGGCACTATAATGGAGAATGTAAATAGACGAGTCACTGTTCTAAGTACTTTATATATTTTATCACTGAACGCTCACAGACTTTGAGGTGGCTATTATCCCTTTTTGTATAGAAGAAACTGAGTCTCAAAGAGATTAGGTACACTGGTTAAGACTACACAGTTAGCAAGGGATGGATCCGGGCCCAGGGAGGCTATTTCTAGACCCTGTGCTCTTGGCCATGACTGCGTGACAGAAAGCAGACGGAACAGAGCAAAGTAAATACAAATCACAAAATGCAATGCTAGAAGTGAAACACCATCAGCGATCACAATACGTTTAGATGGAATAAACTTGCAAGTTAAAGGAAAAATTTACAAATTCCGTGGCTTACCTGAAACAAAGAAAAATTTAAATTTAAAACATAGATTGAAAGTGAAAAAGAATGATGTAGAGATTCAACGTTAGAGAGAGAGAAAAGGCGAACCAGTGAAACACTAACCAACAGAAGGAATCATTCAAACCTTCCACAGGTTCATTATTTACTTGAAACCCAGCTTGGTCTGCCACTTACTAGCTCTGTGCTTTGCAAAATACTAAATGTCCCAGACCTTAGTTCTCTCATCTGTAAAATAGATATTCAGATCTCCAAATACTGGTGTTTCATTCAACTGTGTTTTCTTCTAACATTGATGAGAGAAAAAAAAATGGATTCCTGGCTAGGGCCACCGTCTGTGCAGGATTCAAATGCTCTTTGCATGTCTGCAGGGGATTTTCTCCAGGTACTCCGCATATTTGGGAACAAATACTTTATTTTTTAGTTTTACAGGTCCACAGATGGGGTTTTTCCCAAAGATGAATCATACTCAGGGTCTCACCCAAACCTGACTTAGATGGTTAAGAAGATGAGATCTGGGACCTTTGAACTGACAAGATTTATACTATATATTTGAATTTGAGATAATGCTATAATCATCAAGACTTTGGAAGATGTTGGGATGAGATGAATGTATTTTGCATGCAGGATGCATGTGAATCTTTGGGACCCAATGGAAGACTGTGGTAGGCTAATGTCCCCCAGAACATGCCCATGTCCTACACCCCAGAACCTGTGAATGTGTAACCTTACACTGCAAAAGGCTCTTTGCAGATGTGGTTAAGGGTCTTGAGATGGAATATTGCCCTGGGTAATCCAATGCACTCACACGGGTCCCCGTAAGAAGGACACACGACGGTCAGAGACAGAGATGGGAAGTAGAAGCACAGGTGGCAGTGATACGGGCCATGAGCCAAGGCAAGGAAACGGACTCTTCGCTGGGTCCTCCAGATGGAACACAGCCCTGATGTCGCCTTGGTTTCAGCCCACTCAGACTGATCTTGGACTTCTGCACTCCAGAACTCTAAGAGAATAAATTTGTATTGCCACGGAGTTGGTTATCTTTTGTTCAAACAGCAATAGGAAATGAATTCGGGAACCAGCGTGCTGCCTAGTGTGGTGTAACCAAGTTCTTTGTCCCTGACCCAGGGGTCTGAGTCTTCTGTCCGCATCCACAAAATCGTTGCGCCAGCTAACTTGTTGTCTTGCGGGAGGGATGAAATCTTAGACCCTTCACAGCTCTTGACATTTACCTCATAAAAATGATGGTATAGTCATGGGTATTTTTCCAACTTTTAAATATCCTTCAGTCTTCTAAAAAAGCCATTTCTAAATCAAACAGCACTTAAATAGCTTTTAATCTTAACAAGAAATATCTCACAGTCTATATTTGGTTAAGTTAATTGTGAATATATTCACATTAGAAGTTAATACAATCAGCATTCTTCACTACTCTTGTTCTCTTTCCTGCAAATACTCATTAAAAATAGTGACTATTTGCAAGAATGTGTTATATCAGCTTTAATTACAAAAAAAAAAAAATTCCACTCCTTGTTCTGTTTAGTGTTATTTAAAGAATAATATTTTCCTCCAAAGACATTATGGGGAAGGGATTTCTTTTGGTGGAATAATTCCTAAAGGAAATCTGTTACATGACTTGGACCACTAGGTCCCTAGAGATGATAGAAATTAGCAGGCATTATAAACAAGGAATAGTTTTAAGAAGAAAATTAAATTGGATGTATGAAAACAAAGAACCAGAGAATATTCTTGTGCAATCAAATACATTTATTTTTAGCGTAAGCAAGACAGGTGGTAAACAAAATCATAATAAAAACCCCACCCAGAGATGAGCAGTGGGCCATGCGTGCAACCTGGGTGTGTAAAACCAAACTATTTCTGATACCAATGTGCAGGTTTCATTCAGTGCTACCAGGCCAATCTGAACAACTGTTGGTGGCCTATTTACAACCGTTCACCACCTCAGCTCAAAGCCACATACTAGCCAGACGACTGTCACCTACACATTTGCCAAGTAAGTAGACAGCATTGCAAATAGCACTTTACTTGTTCAATGGCCAATGGCACAAGTGTGACCAGACACGGATAGATCAACAGGAGACACACAAAAGACACCTCCCTCACTCAGCTCATAACCGCCCTTACCATTCCTTGGGAACAGTAGTACCATGAGATACACCATGGACTGATACCAGGACGGAGGGGCAGGAGTGTCCCCAGGTTTGAACCTGGGTGGCCAGAAGTTCTCAGAAGAGCTGCTTCAGCAAAACCAACAGAAATGCTGCCCACAGTGACGTGTGAGACAAGGGTCCTGACATCCTGGAAGATACTCGGGCTCCTGGCGAATGCTGAGCTCAGTGAAGCATTGAGTGGAAGGTACAGACATTTGGGGATCCTACAATAAAAAGGAGACAGTACCCCAGTTTATACAGCTTTGTATATATGCCAACCTTATCTGGATGCAAGGACATAAATTGACAAAATATTAGAGTCGGGATAGATCATCTACTCCAGACTCCTTATCTTACAGGAAAAAACTGTGGGACCCCAGAGAAGTAAAGCAAATTGCTAAAGGTAAAGCATGGTAGAGGCAGGCCCAGAGTGGAACACAGAACAATAACCTCCATTCAAGAATGATGACGCTTAGTATGTGGCCAAATTTCTCAACAAGGAAGATGACACAGTGTAAATACTTTATTCCCCCTAAAAGCCTCAAATGTGTTTAAAGGCATAAAAATTCACCCTCATCAGCTCTCATCAGAGAGAGATTTCTTCTCTGTCTTTCTCTCTCTGTTTCTCTACCTCTGTCAGTCTGTCTGTCTGTCTGTCTGTCTCTCTCTCTCTCTCTCTCTCTCTCTCTCTCACACACACACACACACACACACACACACATGCACACACAATTTTGGTGAATGAAGATTTCTTTCTATATAAACACACCCCAGCATCTTCAGGAGGACACACTACAGAGCATGTTTCTCAGTCCAGATTCTTGTGTGAGGTCTGGGAAACGGGCTTATTTTCTAGGACAATAGGTGGTTCAGAAATCAGAAGATCATCGTCCCCAAAGGAGGAGTTCTGGTCTGTGTTCACAAAGTTGGGGATGTCAAATTCCATGAGCCTGTGCAGCTCCTCCTCTGGCTGCCTGCTGCTTCTGGTGACTTCCTGGAGTTGAACATCACTGTCAAGAGCTGTGGTCTGGTGAGAAGCCTTAGCCTTTTCCAAGTGTTCCACTTCATTGATATAGCAGTGAAAGAGAGACCTGGATTCCTCATTGCCCTGTCGAGAAAACAGTTTATCTGGTTCCAGAGGTCTTCCAAAGTCTGACACAAAGCTGTTCATTCTGAATCTCTTCTCCGAAGACTCTGTGTTGCTGTCAAGAAAAGGGAAAAAATGATTACTTACACTCCAGCTCATTCCCCTGCAGAATTCATAGCTTTTGACACTCAGGGCAGGCCAGCGTATTTCCACTGAGCACATGCTGAGTGCAAGTCCCTGTAGAGAGTGTGCAAGCACCAGAACTGAGAGACATCACTTCTGAACATGCGCAAATAACCCCAAGGCAAGAGCCCCAAGATGAGGTCTCACGGACCTTTCTGGAAAGAGACACCTTGCTGAGGAATCTCCTGATTCTCAGGGGGCTCTTGAATCATCTGCATCAGAATTACTTCAAGTGTTTCTGAAAGTGCCGAATCCTGAATGGCAGACCCTCCGAATCTTTGGAGGTAGGGTCTGGCAAGCTGTATTTCCACAGAACCCTCCAGGATTGCTATTCATGCTCAAGTTTAGAAACACTGACCTACATCAGGCGGGCCTGAGCGACAGCAGTATCTCACGGAGGCGAGTGTCACATTTTTCAAAGCACTGTTGTATCCATTTAGCTCATTCGATTCTCAAAACTGACCAGTTCAGTCACTTAGGACAAGAATTACTACGGCTATTTTACAAACCCAAAAGCTAAGACAAGGAACAGTCAGCGTCCCCGCTTGAGTCACACAACAGGTTAGTGATAGGAGTGGGAATAAAATCACTCTGGTTCCTAATTCCTTGTTTCATTTAAGGTGGAATAAATGAGCAGTTTAATGGTAATAAATCAATGACTAAATGAATAAAATAACTCCATTAGTCCTACAAGTACATGAAAGACAGAGCATAGGTAAATTGAATACCCTGATATCCCACAGACTTTAATCCTTTCTTTCCAGATTTATATAAAAGTTGCTCACACACAAGTGACTCCTCAAAGGCAAAAATCATGTCTGGACATATTTTCAAATCCTAACAAAAAGGAGGCTCTGTTCAACGAGTGTGTGACCGTCTCTGTTTCAGTTCTTAACCCTCTTCCTTCCAGCCCCATTGCTCAGTATAAAGTGCTGACGACCAAATTCCCACGGGGCAGGAGGAGCATGAATTCAATATAGGACTAGAAAATCCAAGCACATATACATACAAACCTCCAAATTATCAAGAGTCACCTGGATATCAGTGGTCAGCAATCCTGGAAGCTTTGTAAACCAGCCCGCTGAGGGGCTTTTCTATCAGATCTTTCTCCTACTGGGATTATCAGGGTGACATCAGGCACAGAATTCCTCTCAGAAGCCTGAGTTTTTCCTTTTAGTAAAAAGCCTGGTTAGCAAGTCTCATTGCCCGCTGAGCGAATGTGATGTGAAGATCATTGATTTGCAAATCATTAAACATTTAGTAAGTCCTGTATTCAGAACTTAAAGAAAAATCGCTTTAGAGAGACTCCAAATGCCTTCTGCTGTAGCGCAAATTTAAGTGGTCCTGTCTTTCAGCAGGCGATTTTTTTCTAATTATCACTTCACTCAGGTTTAAAAGGTGGTTGAGAACAAAGATGAGTGTGCCAGCCCCCTGTCCCTTAATAGGCTAAAATAATACTTGGCAAAAAAAGAAGGGTTTCACACGTTTGAAAAGGCATGATTAAGATCGCTGGGGCTCACCCCGTTCTCCAGTTGCAGGGCTAAGAAGCTCTGAGTCAGAGCTTTCCCACCGGCTGGGTGGGAGGGAGGCCCCGAGGCCCAGCTCTGGCCAGCGGCTCCTCCCACGCACAGGCTACACGGGGTCCATTAACTGCCCCGGGTGAAGAACAGAGGCCCAGGAGTCCAAGAGAGTTTGGTCCCTCCACAGGGTAGAGTCCTGCCTCTGAGATGCCTTCCCTCCTCCCCCTGAACTTTTTCCCGATGATTTCTTGGGGGTGAGAACAGTGCAATTTGTCTGATCCTCCTTGTCTGAGAACAAGGGAAAAGTTCATCTTTGTACTCTTAGACTCTGGTAAACATTACACATTCAGCAGTTGTGCTTTTATTCCTCTTTTCTTTCCTTGACTGATAAATTAAAAGATTTATACGTGAAAATTGTAATCATGGACAAAACTTGCTTTAATGTATCAATAGTTTCTATTCTACTTGTCATTGGGTGAAATTTACATGCAGAAATCCATGGATCTAAAGTATCAAATTCAATGTGTTTTTATTAATTTATACATCCATGTAGCCACTATTCTCAACCAAGGTATAGAATATTTCCTTTATCCTATTAAGTTCTTTTCATTCATTTTCTACCCCCTTTAGTTAACATTGCTCTAATCTCCATTTCCATTAAATAGTTTTGCCTGTTCTTTCCTTTTTTTTTAAAGATTTTATTTATTTTTAGAGAAGAGGGAGAAAGAGAGGGAGAGAAACATCGATGTGCAAGAGATACATTAATTGGTTGCCTCTCACACGCCCCCAAAAGAAGATTTGGCTAGCAACCCAGGCGTGTGCTATGACTGGGAGTTGAACCGGCAGCCTTTTGGTTTGCAGGCTGGCATTCAATACACTGAGCCACACCAGGCAGGACTGCTTTGCCTGTTCTTGAACTTCCAGACCATTTCCACTTCCTATAGGCAATCTTTCTGTATTTTTCTCACCACAGATTAGTTTAGCCTATTCTTGAAATTCATACAAATGCAATCATACAATGTAGAGCCTTTTGTGCCTGCATTCCTTTGCTCAGAATGTTTTTGAGATCCATCCACATTGTTGCATGTAACAATCATTTGTCTTTTTTCTTGTTTGGTATAATTCTATTGTATGAATGCACTATAATTTGTTTATGCATTCTCTTGTTAAAAGGTATTTGGTTATTTCCAGTTTGGGGCTGTTGTGAGTAAAACTGTAATGAACATTCTTGAAAAGTCTCTTTGTAGACATGTTTTTGTTGGTCTCAAGTACATGCCTAAGCATAGAATTACTGGGTCATATAGTAGATGCATATTTAATTTCATAAGAAACCATGAAGTTTTCCAAAGTGGTTGTGATGTTTTACACTCTCACCACAGTGTGAGAATTAGAGTTGTTCCACATCCTTGTCAACATTTGGCGGTGTCAGTTTTTTAATGTTAGCCATTCTCGCTGGGGTGAAGTGGTATCTTATTGTGGTTTTAACGTGCATTTCTCTGATACCTAATAATATTGAGCGTCTCCTCATGTCCTTATTGGCTATTGGTTTAACTTCTTTTGTGAAGTGTCTATGTGAGTCCTTTGCCCATTTCAAAAATTGGATTGATATTTGTTCCTGATTTGTAGAAATTTAGTAATATATTCTGACTACAGAGGCATTTATCAGGTATATGTATTGTAAACATTCTCTTTTGAGCTTTGTAATATATTCTGAATATAATTTTTTTGTTGGGTATATATGTTGCAAACATTTTCTCTTGATCTGTGACTTACATTCTCATTTTCTTAAGGATGTATTTTAATGAGCAGATGTAGTGAGGGCTGTGTGTGAAAAGTAACCTCAGTTGGTAATAGTGACTTCCAGGAAGATGTCCGTCTCTCTGGAAAATTCCACTACTGTACCACAATCCTCAGCACACTCGTGAGCAAGCCCATAGCTGTGCACTTAGTAAACACCTCTTAACTGATGAGGAATTAAAAGTAACTCCTGAACAGAGGTGTATAAATGGAATCAGATTCATAAAGTAGTTAGATTTCCTACCTGTTAATAGGGGTAGACCCCTCGGAGTGACAAGACTTCCTTGGGAACCACTCACTACATCTGCACTTGCCTGCTAGTTCCTGTGGCTTTGGTCATTATCAAAGACCTTAAGTCCTGACACTTCCCTTCTATTCGCTTCTAGTTGCATTACATACATCCTGTAGTCAGTGCCATATTCAGGTAAATTGCAACTTCAGGTAAAATGTAATTTCCACTTTTATAGGATCATGAGCAATCTGGCACTCATCTTCACCTGGACAAAGTACACTTAGCAAAGGCTACCAATGGAGGGTATTTAAGGTATATAATGTCTTGGGTTTGAGAATTTTTTCAAAGAAGTCCAAAACACTCAACAGAAAAATGTGATCCAATCCTTTCCTGTTACTCTTTCCCTCTGGCAGATTTATGATAATGGAGCCATAATGCTCTAACAAGACAGCATAGAGAGTAAACGGCTCCTTAGCTGAGAAAGCAGGGGGAAATGGCTCTTTTACCTCCATTGCCCATGAAGGATCCAGGAAAGAGGGTTTCTTCCCTCCCACACAACAGCACATATTCCATGGGGAAAATAATCCCCATTAACGCTGCTTCTTGGGCCTAAAAGCTTTTAAGAAAGGTGATGTCAGCTTTATAACAGCCTTCCCCCTCTGCAGTGCCCTTTACTAGTGTGTACCAGCATGTGGTTCCCTTGGCCTGGGCAGATGAGCCCGCCCAGCCGGCAGCCAGGTGGGTGGGGTGAGCTCTGGCCCACGGGCTGCGAGAGGAGGGGTGTGTTCCTCCCAATGAAGAACAGAAGGGCGGAGGTGAGATCGCCAGGCTTTCTCTTCTCTGTCAGAGCACCCAGGGGGCTGAGTGTGGGAAGTACCGCAGCTGCAAGTGCAAAGTGTCCACCCTTTCCCAACCCTCAGCACACACACCACTTGAGCTAGAAGTAATCCTAGGTTGTGCCGTACTGAGATACGGAGAGTTGTTTTTTACTGTCTTATAACCTAATCTTAACTATTGCACATTCCCTCCCTGAACAGAAGCCACTAAGTAGTGATTCCCACTGGAGGAGTTCTTCCCGTAATACGATCCCAAGTTGAAAACTTGAGGGGAAAAAAACCTGCCTGTTTTATTATGATGTCATTAGTTTTGTGCAGGTGAACAGGTTTCACCTCTTGCCATCCAAAGAAACGGCAAATACATGTTCTCTCTCAGGTAAACTGTGATTGATTCCTGATGGCTGTCTGGAGTGGGGTTTTAAAAATGATTCTGAAGCAGAGTCTTGGCTACGCATGGAAGATGACACAAATGATTAGGGATGTCCATGTGGTTATGGCACAGGAAGTGGGGACAGGGATGGTGGTCTCCACCATCTTTATGTCTCACTACTGCCCGAGGGATACAGGGACCCTTCCCTTGTGTCAGCAAAGATGAGGCCCCAGTGAGCCATCCAGCACCACCCCCAGATGCCTCCACGGGGAAAAAGATGGAGTTAAACAGTAGAGTAATCCACCAAGCCACCACTAATCCATTGTGAGCTTGCAGACTTGATCAGGTATCTTAGCCAGAACACTGGAGTCATATTCGTGATATCCAGTGACTGTTCTTATGACAGACTCCCTAGAGAGCCTGCTATATAAAGCAATCTGAACTCAGATGCATCAGTCCTCTCAATCAATCACCAAGATTCTCTATGCAGATTCTCTCTATTCATCTTACTGTTTCACTGAGAGACACACTCAAGCTGAAGCTGGGGCAGATGAGGCAACGTTTGACAAGTGAGGATGCTGTGTGAATGCTTAGGGCCTGGCTGTCCCATGGGAGGGTGGGGTTCTTCTCCCTCCCACTCCTCCCCTAGCCCCTTCGGCTCTCACCCAGACTTCCACCAGCGCCTAAGGGGTGGGCTAATCTTCACTGGGTGTCACTGTGAGCCCAGTGTATGCCCATGGCTCCTTAGGCATTAGCTCACCCACTCTTTACCATAATTTTAGGAGGCTGGTACAACTTTATTTTTACAAATGAAAAGTCTCGAGCACAGAGAGGTTAAGAATCTAGCCAAAATCTCTGCAAGTAAATCTAGAAATCTTTGACTCCAGAGTTCATGCTTGGTCTAATATGTGATTAAAAAAAAAAAAGGAAACCTGAGTGCTTACTAATATCTTTGGTTCAAAAGAGGAAGGTTAAAAATTACTGGTAGATGATCATTTAATGAAGTGGTTAATAACAGGAGCTTCAGAGCGAAAGAGACTTTGGCCTGGCTCCATAGCAAGTTTTTTGTTTGTTTGTTTTTTTGTTTTGCTTTGTTTTGGTTTTACCTGTGAGATCAGATAAGTGATTCAGCCTCATTTTTCTTATCTGTAAAGAGGAACACTTACAGGGTTTATTTCATCTTCCTATGAGGATTTCATGGGAATACATACATAAAATGATTAGTAGACCCCAGGATATGGTAAACATCTTTTAAAAGGTCTTATTCTCAGTGACTTATCATTCTCTCCCCCATGCCTAATTATCCCAGGTAAACTTAAAATGGGTTATTTTATATTAAAGATGGATGGATGGAAAAAAAATATTCCCTATTTTAGGAAAAATTTCTGCCAAATAAATGTCAAGTTTATTAAGATCAAAAAGCCTTTTTAACCAATCCATTTAGGGATTTTTCTGCATGTCTGTTTCTTTCAGTTTTCTATTGATATACTGCAACAAAATGTCATATCTTACACTGCCCTAGACTCCAAAAAGCATTTAAGGTGTATCTCAGAGGGCTGAGCCATTATTTTATTACATGTAAAAAAGGGTAAGACCTTCTCCTTAACCTCACTAAAAGCATAGTTACAATGACCCCTGTTCTTTGATTAAGATTATTCAGAACTGCCATCAAGTGAGAAACCATTAGCAGTACAACTGCACTGCCCATTGGAAGACTGGAAACGCAAATCTCAGCTATTCAGGGTCACCATGACATAGTAGGTTTCTCCAGAGAAACAGAACAAAGAACCAAAAGGATGGGGGCGGGGGGCGGTGTGAGAGAGAGAGATCTTTCTTTCTCTCTCTTCCTTCCTTCCTTTCTTCCATCTGTCTATAGAGAGAGAAAGATGCAGATTTATTTTAAGTAGCTGGCCCATGTGACTGTGGGGACAGGCAAGCCCAACGTCTGCAGGTAGCCAGCAGGCTGCCGGTGCAGGGCAGGGTTGCGATTCAAGTCTGAGGCAGTTTTCTGCCAGAATTCCTTTTAGCTGCAGGCAGGTTAGTCTGTTTCTAGGAAGACCTTCAACTGATTGGATCAGGACCAACCATATAACAGAGGATGATGTGCTTTACTCAAAGAACAAAGATTTAAATGTTAATCTCATCTGAACACACACACACACCTTCACGGAAATATCTAGGATTAATGTTTAACCTAATATCTTGGAACCATGGCCTGACCAAGTTGACCCATAAGATTAACCATCACAGAAAGGCAAGTTCTGTTTTGGGCCACAATTCCCATCTGTACAATCACCTGCTCTCTACATCAGACAAATGAATCTCAATAACTACCTCGCAAAACTGCACCCACCCCTCCAAGGAAAAGGAAGATAACGATGTGTTACTATTTCCTGACCACTCTATGAGATGCGCCCTAATGTGAGTTTTGTACTCAGCTTTTTCTTACTACTGTTGCAATCCACATCATATTTTTCAAATCCCATGGACCAATAAAACAGAAGCGAAGGCATGTGAAATGTCTATAAAGACATGGAGAGAGAAAGGGGAAAGTTCATGCCTTTTCCGTGGCTGTTACAGAGATTCTCAACATTATGTCTCCAGATGCTTCAATAAAATGGTATTTTCCTTTCATGTAAAAGGTGTTTAATATTTTCCCAGACCCTGATGTCTGGAAATAGCTGAGTTAGGGACAGAACTGTTCCCTTTACCCAGACATTTGTTATAGTTCAAGTGCAGGCTGAAGACTGAACGACAGGCACTGGAGACTATAGGGCAAAATGCAGTAAAAAGAACACTGCAGCCTGGCTGTATGCACTAAGGGAGATACTGAATTTAAAAGATTAGTAATTGTGCTACATTTCTTCCATTACTGCCCCAGTCCCCTTCCCCCTCCCCCTCCTGCTCTGTGCCCTGGGAAACAGACTCTGATGGGCACTTTGGCTGCTGGCTGAATTGTAGTGTTCAGCCTGTGGGGGCAATGGTGAGAGATGGGGAGGGAGGAGGAAAGCAAGGTGTGGGTATTGATTGGAGGCTCTGTCGGTGAGAGATCACCTTGGGTGGCTGTGTCTCTCGGTCCAAGGTCACAGCTCCTCTCAGCTGCCTTCTGGGTAGGACCCCTAGGTGCTAGTCAGGCGTCCTTCAGATCAGGGGGTAGCTACTCCTCCTGCCCTAGCCCTGCGGTGCTGCGCTGTCCTATGGGGCTTCCTCCTCCCAGGCCTGACTTGGGAACAGTCCTTTCATCAAACACTCTTCTAATGACCTGATTTGAGGGCACTGCCTGTGCCGGCTGGGGCCAACTAAATAAGTATTCAGCATATGCTCTGTTTCCCTTCTTTAAAAGAGCTGGAATTTAAAAAAATCTCTCAAACATTTCTGAGATATTTGGAAACCATAATTAACAAGGATCTTCTGATATTACTCAGCATTCTTTAAGCAACTCATGTAATAATTTCCTCCTCAGATCCAAAGCCCAACAAAAATATTCTTTATTCTGCTTTGAGAATCACATAATCTTTGGTGTTCCCATTTTTATTCTTCTTTCAAGGAAACACAGCATTGAACTCAGTGTTTATTGTCAATGATTGAATTCAATCGAATACTTGGTGACAACTATTTCTCTACTGCTTGAACTGTTTTTTAAAACTAGTGTTCATCCTACTTTGCTGTTATCTTTTTTTCACTGTGTTTAGTCTGGCGAGTCATCCAAATTCTTTTAGGACTAAGGAGAAAATATATCCTCTTTAATAAATATTTCAACATAAAAATTGGGCCTGAATCAGCATTAGGGCTACATGAAAGGACAAAACAAAACAAAACAAAACCCCAGATTCACAAGGATCCACTTGCAAACAAGTCACAGAGGCAAGAGGCCAGGAAGAAGGCAGACCCACCCACAGGCTGGTGGGTCAGGCAGTTATCCATAACTTTTCCTGTTTATTCAGCTGCCTGTGGAGCTTAATAGATATTTAGGAACAGCCCAGACTTACTCTTGGTGTGGGGCTCCTGTCTTGGTCAGCAAAGTCAGCACAAAAAACATGAAAATCACGAAGACTGCAAGACCAACCCAAAATCCAATCACAATGGAATCTGCAAGACAGTTAACACGAAATTAGTATTTCACAGCAACTGAAAATTTGAACATTCAAGAAATCTGGGCTTTGCGGTATATGAAACGAGAAAGGACGTCACCAGTCACAGGAGACAGTCTTGAACCCTCCGTCAGCTGGGGACAGATAAGATGTAGGGAATGAGGGGCAGAGAAGAATCTGTCGCCTCCAGGTTCTGGTCTCAGGTGACACTAAGAGATGTCAGCCTTACTGACCATTGGTTTCCATATCCCAGTAAATGAACCTAGGACACAGCAAAGGCCATCTAGGTCCCCAAGATTCCACTGAAGGGTCTTGAGTTACAGAATACAGTTTTTAGCAGAAACAACAATATAAAGTTTAAAATAAATTCTGAGCCAAACCAGCCCAGTTTTGTATTTTCACTTCTGTTCATGCTGGAATAGTTCAGGTCCTCATAACCTCTCGCCGAGAACACACGAATGGCCTCCTGTGTTGTCTTTCTCTGTGCTTCAACTCGGTACGAGCCTGCTTTACCACAGCTTCCGTAATATTGATCTTTTATGAAAAACTGTTCAACAAAGACAGACCTGACCTCTTCCAGGTTGAAAGAGATTCCATAAGTAAAGCACTTTAAACAATGTCTGGCATCTGAGGAGAAGATACCCCGCATTTGTCAGCTATTATTGTTAAAATTATTTTTTCCCAGCTTACCCCTACTTTAAAACCCATGTTTCCAATCAGACTAGGGGACATTGTGTCCCTGTATTTACCTTAACTCCCTCTGACAACTTCCTAACCCTCACGCCTTCTTAGGGGCTTTACCTTTACCCGACTAGAACAATTTCCCCCAACCTAGAGCAGATGAAAGTTCACCCATCTTTCAAAGCCCATTCCGTGCCCTCTCTCCTTCACCAGGCCGGGACCATTTCACCACCTGGTGTGCTTGCCCCCTCCTTTGAGCCCCGTGGCATTTTGCCTGTGCTTCTCTACATGGGCCCTCCCTTGGGTAATAGTCCCTAAGAGTCCCTAGGGTATGTCTCTGGGACAGGGATGAGGCTGGACTGTCCACAGAACCTGCACACACATAATAGGGTCTCAAATCTGGGGGAGACAACACAGCTGAATTATTTTGCATTTTCTGATTTATGCTAAGAAGTTAGTCTATGTGGGAAGACAGTGAGAGTGCTTAGCAATTTTTTAAAAATGAATGGCTAAACACTAAACGTGTTTAAATGCAAAGCATGATTCTAATTAAATTCTAATTCATTTTTTCTAAAGCGAAGAAATCTGATTAGCAGTTTACTCTGTATAATTTGTACTTTTCATTCTACATATACTATTGCCTAAAGGTTAACACCTTTTATTCAACAATGTGCTGAATAATTAGCATTCTGGATGCAAAACGAATATATCTTTCCTGGGGTTAGGCATGCCATTGAAATAGAAATTGTAGATTTTGCCTTATAATATAATGGAAATGAAGCCTAAAAAAGACATAAGAACAAGTTCCAAAAAAACACATGTAAACAAGTGCAACTGACATGTAACAGCGATATCTCATCTATGGGGCGCAGACTATGAAACACGATTGTACAAACAAACGACAGCACGCTGTGCTTCATCAACGGCCTGCAGAGCAAAAGCAAATTCTAAAAATGACACACCAGTATTATATTTAAGTCCTCAATTGAGAATTGACTCTAACTGATTCGTTTTTAGAATCTGTCTGCTGGGAAGGGGTTCTCGCGTGGACCGCTTTCACACGGCAGATGGGAGCGGCACCCCCATCAGCCCTCCGCTTCCCAAAGCCCGGTGGGCAAAGGTGGAAGTGGGGTGCCCTTCACCCAGCCCAGACCCTTCCCTCTGCCCTGCTAGTGCCCCAGGTTGCTGATCAAAAAGCAATAATAATGGGGGGCAGGAGAGGGTCGCGGCCGTTGGGGGACCAAGGGGGGAGCAGAGTGTGGCGGTTCTGTGGTTAAAATCTGAGAGTCTATGTGATCTAACAGCATTTCCGAATGTTCCCTTGAGAATGTGGCATCTATGTTTCTCATCACAATGTGTTTCAGTTTCTTTGCTTATTATGTAGTTTTGCTTATTCACTTTCCCCTTCGAACAAAATTCTGTTTCTGCCAATTATTTCCTTTAATTCTCCTCACCCCACCCTCTGCTGTGTGGGCCAACCCCAGGGCGCTTTCTTACCCTGAGCCCCTTTCCGGGAGGATGGGAGATCCCCATCTCACCCTAGGAACAGACAAACTCTCTTGAAATTTTATTTATATACCACGTTTCAAGGTCATGGGCACTGTGGTAACATGGGAATACATCACCCCTGGCCTTCCTCAAAACACCCTTTCCAGGGAGGAAGCCAGCTTAGAGGTTTATAGCGAGTGAGGTTCGAATGAATCCCGTGGTTAAGGAAGCCAAGAGAAGCTTTGCTTGTCTGGAGACTGAGTTACTTAGAAAGCATTATAGTAAGGGGGTAGAGCCAATTGCCACAGGAATTCCAAATGGGATGAGTCATAATAAAATAATTTCCCCTTAGCCTGACCTCCAGTGAATGAAAGGAAACAACCGAGCTGAAAGCTGACAGGCGCAAGATTTTCTCTAGAATGGTCTTGTTCTCCAGGTAGCATTTTCTTCTCCTCCCAGTAGCAACCACCCCATCGCCCGGCCTCTCCACCTCCCAGGAATAAATTATGACCTTTCCATCCTGTGGTTGTATGAGAAACAAAGGTTAATGTCTAATTTGAAAGAGGGGATTCAGGACAACAGAGCTAGCACTGCCCTCACACCACTTCTGGCTCCTAAAGCATTAGGGTCAGTTCTGTGGCAAGAATTCCTGGCAAGGAGCCGACGGCGATGTTCGGGTACTTGTCTGTGCTGTGCCCCCAAGGGCACCTGGTCTTACTCCAAGTCTTCAGGAGCTCTGGTTCTGCTCCTCAGCTCAGTGACCCCTTCTCCGGCTGACGTATCTGTGCACGTATCAGGCGTCATCTGCAAGTTGGCATAGGATAAAAGCATGGAATGTGGCCACCAATGAGGGCTCAGAATAAGAGAATGCTCCTTCGGTCTTTCCTCAACACAGCAGCTGGAACGGTCCTGCTAAGATGCAGCCACGTCCACTTGTGGACTTACAGGCTTTGCTTCTGCTTCTCTAAGAACGTCCAGTCTCACCCAGCCAAGCCCTTCATAAATGTCCCATTTCTCTTCTCTTTATAGCAAAATTCTTGAGAGATTTTTCTCCTCCTCTTTTTTTTCTTTTTGAACCAATTCCATCCACCTCTCACTCCCACCACTCCACTGAAACTGCTTTTAAAATCATTGTCGGTAATGTCTACATTTTAAATCCAACAGTTAACTCTTGTCCCTCAACTAACTTGACCCAACAGCATCTGACACAGACCATGGTCTCACCCTCAAAACCGTTTCTTCACTTGGTTTCCAGGAAACCACAACTGCCCAGTTTTCTTCTTGTCTTTCTGTAAATTCCACTCAGGCTCTTTTGCTGCTGTCTTCTCAACATCCTCCAGTTTCTAAATGCTAGCGTGACCCAGGGCTCAATTCCTGGGCCTCTGTAGTTTTCTACCTACACTCATTCATCCATCTCTTGGGGCAAATATCATTTATATGCTGATGACTCTCAAATTTCACTGAACTCCTCTCCCCCCTGGTCTTCTCAGGTGTCTGATAGGTCTCAATTTAACAGGTCCCAAACTGAGCTCAGGATGTTATGGCCTCTCCTATAGTCTTCCCCATCTCAGTTAATGGCAAGTCATCCTGCCAAACGCTCAGATCACTAATCTCCAAATCATCCTGGGTTCTTCTCTTTCTCTTCCACCCTATTGCCAATCCATTGACAAATCCTGTCTGATCTAGCTTCAAAAAATACCCAGAATCACAAACTTCTCACTACTCCACTGCCCACACCATGGGCCAGTGTTAATAACAGCCCTGTGACTGGCCTCCGCTTCCAGGCTCATCCCCTCCCTTCCTTGGCCACAGAGAGGATTTACTGAAACCTAAGCCAGAGGCTGCTCCTCTCCTCCAAACCCTCAAACGACTTCCCTCACCCCCACACACAAAAGCCAAAGTCCTTAGCATGACCTCTAAGGCCCCAATATCCTCTTCTCATGACCTGACTTCATCTCCTGCTGCTCTGCCTCTTACCCACTCCCCTGGTGCCCTGCTGGCCTCCTCGTTGTTACTTTGCAGGTTGCATTTCACAACTGCAGGGCAGTTTCTGGAACGTTCTTCCTCAGATATCTTATAGCTTAATTTCTTACTTCCTTAAGGTCTTCTCTCAAATTTTTCCTTCTCAGTGAGGCCTTCTATGGCCGCCTATACTTTTATCTCCACACTCCACATCCTATCCCTACTTTATTCTTCCTTTTTCTTTTTTTTTAAATCGCTGTCTCGCGTAGTTTATTTAACTTATTAACTGCCTGTCTCTCCCAATACAAGGCAAGATCTATGAGAGGAGGTATTTTTTGTCTTTTCTATTCACTGTTGTATCTCCAATGCTTAGAATAATACTGCACAAAACAGGTGCTCAATAAATATGTGCTGAATGAATGAATGTCCACTCCACTGGTACCAATTATATGTCAGACATATGTCCACTTCTGATACATTATAAGGCTTAATACCAGATTAAAAACTAAGAGCAAAAGTCGAAATGACTGTTAAACGTTGTTTCTCAGATGAAAGACCATTTGAAGGTAGGAATCTCAATTTTAGCAGGCAGAAGAACATAATCTAATTAAAGATATAGCTATTATCGCCAAGTGTGATCTGTTACAGATAATGCAAATGAATGAAGATAAGTGCTACGAACCTTCTTATCCTGATCTTGAAATATCTTGTTTCTGTACTTTTGAACCTGAACCTAGCTAGCTTTGAATTTTGCTCTGCAAAACAAGGAGACATACTTGAAGGTCAGAGTCATAGCATTTTAAAAATGAAGAGACTATACCAATGTACACAATGAAATAGCTGACTTTTTTTATTTTTTCCGTATGTATAGAGGATTTTTTTAATTTTTTTTTTATTCTTTCCTATGTCTCTCATATATTGTCAGGTTCCTGAAGCTAAGGGCATCCACTTTAACCAAATCTCTCCCTGAATCAGAACAGTAAGGACTCCACCAGGCATTTTTGTTTTTTCCTGATGTGAATGTTAAAACTAACAAAAGCACTCCTTAGCAATGGTATAGTATGTAAAATAAGTAACGTGTCACATGTCTATGTTTTGCAGGCATTTTTTCTAACTATAATCGCTTATAGAATGCAACATGCTTTTAAAAGATTTTCAATTATCTCTAGAAATGCACCAACCAAAATTACAGCAGAAGGACTGTCTTTTTTGCCCCTTAGATTAAGGAAAGAGGCCAGAGCAAACTGACACAAAAATAAAATTAATGCCACCAACGTGTAAAAGCTCACATTACCAAAGAAAATGGCTATTTGTCTAGTCATTTTCATATCCACCAAAATTCTTAACAGCAAGTGCCCTTACTTAAAGATCATCCCAGGGAAACAACAGGTTAAAGAATTAAAGTAAATGAAGGAGGGAAATTTCATACCCTGCCAGCAACAGCCTCCCATCAGGTAGTCAATGACAACATATCCCAATGGGTTCCATGGGCTTTTTTTTTTTTTTTTTTTTAATTTCCAGAAAGAAGTATGGAGCAGACATCAAAAAAGGAATGAGTGAAAACATTTAATTATTACTATTCACTTCAGGGAAAAAGGATATGTAGTTTAGTTAATGATTTCTTAAGGAGCAAAAATAGAAAGCCCTCTTTCCAGGAAATGAGTAACTGAAGCCCTTTACAGACCCACTGACGGAGACCAGAAGGTGGGAACCAGCGGGAGTATTCCTGCCCCACCCCTCTAACTGCCCAGCCGAAGGCTCTGCCACAGCCAGGAGCAAGCAGTGGCATCTGAGCCCTCAGGGCCCACGCATGAACCCTGGGCTGTTACGGTCCTTCCTGCAACAGGGGAAAGGGGACAAAGGTTAAGCCTCTTAAGTAACTGAAATGGGGAGTTGACCAAGATGGAAATTTAGGAGGTTCCGGAGCTCCCCTTCTCCTAAATATATGGATGCACCAAATATACAGCTACATATGGAGCAAGTCCCTCTGAAAGAGATCCAGGAATAGCAGATCAACTCCTGCACATCTGGCAAGTGAGAAAATATCCACATCTACATGGGTAGGAAAATGCTGAGACACACATTTGCCACAAACCCCACCCCCAGCCCAACAACATACAATGGGGACGGAAACCCTAATTCCCACCTTCTCCCTAAAGAGGGAGGATTTGAATTGTACATCTAGAGCCTCAACTTTTAAGACTCACACTGGAGAGATGAGCCCCCAAAACATCTAACTCTGGGTTGCATCCATGAGAACCCCAAGACTACAGCAAGCAAAAAAGCAGTTCTTTATGGGCACATAGCCCTCACCATGGCTATGCCCCAGGGCTCAGGGCAGAGGGAGCCCAAAAAACACCCACCTCCCAGTCTTCCTTTGACAGCGGTTTATCTGCTTACTCCAAAAGATGCTGCCTGAGGGCCAGGCTTCTAATTTAGCAGGCGTTTAGGGGCTGGCTGTGGTCCTTCCCAGATACCAGAGAAGCCTTTGGACACCTTCCCATCCTTCTCCCTCCACCCCACTCCAATAGTAAAATCATGGTCCCCAGAGGGAGGTTGTACACATGTCTGGTGCCCCAGCTTGGCAGCAGCTATCCGAGGGATCTCCTGGCTCTGAGAGGCACTGGGGCTTGCATTCATGAGTCCCACAGGACTGTAGTAAACAAAGAAGCAGTTCTTAACAAGTGCAAGAGCACCTCTCATTCCTACATACAAGGCCCAGAACAGACGGAACAGACGAAAATGCCCAACTCCCAGTCTCTCCCTGGAAGGATGTAACTACATACATTCCCAGCTGCTGCCTGAGAGTCTGGCTTCTAATCAGACGGCATGTAGGTGCTGATCTTGATTCCCCCACTTTGGGACACAGACAGGTTTTGACACATCCCCAACTAGTAGAAGCCACTAAGAAAAAAAGACAGTTGCTTGGACAATCATAAACATTTAAGAGACAACTAGGAGCTCAGGGCTGGCTGAATGACTCGGTTCATCTCCTACGCAAGACCACTCCATCAAGACTGGCCGAGGTGGCTATTGTATATGATGTCCAGAAACCACACAGAGAGTCAAGGAAAACAAAGAAATAGAGGAATATGCTCCAAACAAAAGAACAAAAGTAAGTCTCCAGAAACAGATCTAGATGAAATAGAGATGTTATTTACCTGATAGAGCTCAAAAGTAGTCATAGACATAAGAGGTAAGTTTCTTAACATAGATCTTGGAAGTGATTTTTTGAATTTGACACCAAAAATTTGAAAAGCAAAAGCAACAAAAGCAAAATAAACAAATGATATTATATCAAACTAAAAAGCTTCTGCACAGCAAAAAATGAAAAGGCAACATATAGAATGGGAGAAAATATTAACAAAGCACACATCTGATAAGACGTTAATACAACTCAATAGCAAAAAGTTAAAAAAAAAAAAAAAAAGAACCCCAATTTAAAAATAGGCAAAGGACCTGAAGAGATATTTCTCCAAAAAAGACATCCAAATGGCCAACAGGTACATGAAAAGGTGCTCAACTCATTAATTATCAGGGAAATGTAAGTCAAAACCACAATGAGCTATCACCTCAAACCTGTTAGGATGTCTATTATCAAAAACACGAGATAAATGCTGGTGAGGATGTGAAGAAAAGGGAACCCCTGTACACTGTTGGTGGGAATGCAAACTGGTACAGCCACTATGGAAAACAGTATGGATGTTCCTCAAGAAATTAGAAATATAACTACCATAGATCCAGCGACCCCACTAATGGATATATGTCCAAAGGAAATAAAACCACTATCTTGAAGAGGATATTTATACTCCCATGTTAATCGCAGCATTATTCACAACAGCCAAGGTATAGAAACACCTAAAGTATCTATCAACGGATGAATGGATCAAAAAAATGTGATAGACATACTCACAATTGTGCACAATTGTGCCCCTACATACATACACAAGATGGAATATAATTTAGCCTTTAAGTAAAAGGAAATTCTGTCATTTATGACAACATGGGTAAACCTGGCGGGCAATGTGCTGAGAAATAAGCCAGGCAGAGAAAGACAATACTGCATGTTATCACTCATATGTGAAATCTAAAAAGAAAAAAAATTAAACTCATCATGGCAGGGGGTAGAAAAGTGGCTGCCAGGGGCTCAGTGAGGAGTGGGGGAAATAGAGAGATGCTGGTAAAAGGGTGCAAACTTTCTGTTATAAAATGAATAAGTATAGCTGATTACACTGTCTTGTATAGGTGAAATTTACAAGACAGTAGAACTTGAATGTTCTCATAAATAAATGAGTAAAAATAATAGAGGTTATTAATATGTTAATAAATTCAATGAGGGAAATCCTTTCACGATGTATACAAATGTCAAATCCTCACTGTGCATTTTAAGCATATTACAATTTTATTTGTCAGTTACACCTTTAAAAAGGTGGGGGGAAAAAAGAAGGTTCTCCCTGCAAAGGAGCAGCAAGTGGGCAGGAGGGACCATGAATGCCAAGGCAGGTCAGCGTCAGCGGCCAGGCCAGGAAATGCTCAAGGAACAAAAGCATTTCCTTTGCCACATTTGCCTCTCCAATTCTAATCTGTCATATATTTCCTAATGTAGCCCATTAATCTGAACCAGTTACAAGCCTCTTATGTTGGTAGCGCTGTGGATATTCACTTTGGAACAACCAACCATCTCTGGAATATTGATGGTGTAGCCATGACAGGGCCTGGGAGTGGGCAGCAGTTCCCGCTTATGTTGACTCTACTTAAGGAAACAAAGATGCTTCGTACTGGTCAGTCAGCACCCAGTTATGACTGGAATTGGACAGGAACCTTTCACAAGACTGTATTTCCTTGCTCTGTGCTGGATCATCAGTCACTCCAATAGCATGGCACACGCTTCACCAAACACAGAGCCAGGAAGGATCGCAGGCTGTTCTTGTCCATCATCATGAACACACATAGATAGACTCTCTCCCAGCTCCAGAAAACCAAGGGAGCTAAGAGATGCTGTTGATCATGTGTTACAAAACAAGGTTCTTCAATTAATAGTTCCAGATTCTACTTCTGTCATATTTTTGATAGTCCAAATGTTCACACAGTTTGGGAGAGCTGGAATTGTTAATGCTTTAGTAAAATATCTCAGTTTAAGAATTATGTTGGTTCATATTCCCCCACTATGCGAACCTTTCACATTCCTTGTCACTTGGAATCACCAAGGCCCTCATGTAATACCATCCCTGAGAAACCAGTTTTTGTTTGGAGGAGGTGTTTTTTGAGGTTTTGGGGGTAGAGGACAGAGTTCTGTAAAAAGAGAGAATGTTCAGGAAAAGTAATCAATGGGGGTTTCACAGGTTAAAACAAATATATATTATGCTCGCAATGAAGAACTGTATAAGACTTACATTTATGAGCCTTGAGTCCTTCAAAGGAAACAGGTCCGATCTCGTAGTACTCATATTCCCAGGTGTAATCAGAATTAGGTGCAGATTGCTGAGACGTTTTGTTAGAAATGAACCTCTGAGCAGACATCTCCACCCTGCACAAGTAAAGAAAGGCAAGTGCAGAACCTGTTACTTCACCCACAACTGCTCAGGTACTCTGATTGCTCTTGACCACATTTGGGAGTTCAGCAGAAAAGCCCTCAGGAAGGTCCTATCCACTCGGTCAGAGAAAGGCCTTCACGGGAGGCCCACACCTCATACCAAGTGACCATTCTTTCCTTTTATTTCTCCACTAAACTGCACACCATGTCTTCCTTTGATGTAGTTCCCCAGAATTTAACCCAGTGCCTGGCACATAATCAACTTTCAATAACTGACGAAAGAAGGAAGGGAAGGAAGGAGAGAGTACATCAATTTCCCTGAGCTTCCATCTTCAGCCTCACCACCCATACCCGCGTGAGTAGGTAAAGTGCTGACAAAGAATAGATAAAGTCAGTATCAGAAGTGAACTAAGTTTATATCTATTGAGCCACTACTATGCAACAATAAAGATGTGCACACTAAGTCTAATGAAATGGGTGAAGAAAGGAGAGATGAACAGCAAAAACTGCAGAGCGGGAGAAGGTCCTCAGTGGAAGCCTGACGCTTGCCCGCTCCTAAAATTTGTCCTGTTTTCAGAATGTCCCAAGTGTCTTCTTTCTGATAATTTTCAGATAGAAAATTCTTACTTCTTTGAGAGAAGAGGTGCAGTATGCAGTATGCGGTATGTGCAGTATGGATGCCAAAGGTGACAAGTCAATAGAGCGCATATTCAATAGTGACCACCTACTGTGAGCAAAGCACTGCACACTGTGTGTGATAAAAACTAGCTGGGACGTTAAGCAAACGTAAGTCGGGAGGGTCTATGCAGCGCTAGGGCTTATGGAAGTTCTCATACTCTATGTAATAGCAAGAACCCTCCACGTGAGAACGCTACAGGCAGAGCTCTAAGGTTATAATAAAGCTCTACGGTCCTAACGTCCCCTTCCCTTAACTTCCTCTTCCCTTCTGTAAATACCCCTCTGTCTTGACATGCAGGCCAGAGTGTGCACATGGCTTGGCCGTTGTGCATTCCCTGGGTTGCACCTCTTTCTTTTTCCCGAATACACCCTCTTTGGTGATGAAACACTAGGAAGAGATGGGATAGGAGGAGATGCTTGAGACACAGACCAGGAGACTACAGGCCTTACCTCACAATGGGGAAGGTGTAAAAAGTGACATTGAATAGTAATTTGAATGAAATACCAGCTGAAACCAAGATTTACTGAGCAGTTACCACTGCTGGGGCCCACGCACCAAAATCTTTCCAAGGTTCCTCTTCTCCCACAGCTACAATAGGTCAGTATCAGCCACCGCCACGTCTACAGCACAATCCCCAGAGAAGCTAAAGGAAAATCTCCACCGCACTGCTTCTCCAAGGCATGACTCTCACCTTTCCCTCTTCCCCACTTCCCACAGAAACAGGCCCCCAACCCCTCAGCATCACATTGTTCAAAAGAGGGGGAGCTGTGGTCCAGAGAGGCATGCCAGCGTCAGAATCGGAGAGTGACTCTGAGCAGCAGCCAGACGAATTACTCCTCCAAAGGTAGAAGAGAATGTACCAATTCTCGTTTGGGAAAGAAAGCTACACAAATCTTAAGAATAGCTGACCTTTAAATAAGTATTCAGCTACCTTTCTAACACCAGCATCAAAATAACATAAAACCGTCACCACAGTATCATCTTTGGCTTTTCTCTTATTTGAACAAGAACCTATTTCCCTCAACTACAAAATTAATTACCTCAGGAAATGAGAATTAACAACGCAAACCTACGAGGTACCATCCTCATTTATAAGAATTTTATGAGAGAAAGAGAGCGCTCCAGTTATAGGGTTCAGAGACAAATAGCAGATGAGGATAAACATAATTTCTATTTGAGAATGTTAAGAATTTCACACAAAACTGGGAAAACGTCACCGGATCTGAAGTTGGAAGACCGGGGTCTTCGTCTTTGCTCTTCTTGCATTTGCTGTGTGGCCAGGCAAAACGCTCCTGTCTCCCAGCCACATTGGCCTCATCTGCAAAACCGCTCACCCAGCTGCCTGAGGGTGCTGCTGTCAGGAAACGGCTCCAGCTGTGGTCACTAACAGCCACCAGCATCACCCTCCTGGACCACTTCTCAGAACTGTTTGTTGGTTTTTTTTTTTGCTTTTACTCTTCCTAGCCCATTGTAATCCTCTCTTCAAACATCAGCCAAAGACCTTAAACACAAACACACACACACACACACACACACGCATTTTCCCTGTCATTCCTTTGTTTAATACTTTCAATGCCTTCTTATTGATCTAAGGACAAAGTCCAAAATCCTTAAAATGTCCTACAAAGTCATGACGTGGGCCTAATGTCTCCTCTGACTGTGCCACATACCTTATCAAACTGTACTTGCATTGACTGTATTTCCTCAAATACATCATGAGCGCTCTACCTGCACACATACTGTTCCCTCTGGTAGGAGTGCCCTTCCTACCATCCCATCGTAGCCCATCCCTCCTTCCCTGCATGCGTGCATCATCTACAGCCGGGGTCAGCAAATCCCGCCCACCACCTGTTTTTGTACAACCTGCAAGTGAAGAATGACTTTTACATTTTTTTAATGGTTGAAAAGATCAAAACAATAGTAATATTTTGTGACATGAGAAAATTATGTGAAATTCAAATATCAGTGTCATAAATAAATTTTTGTTGAACGCGGCCACCTTCACTTGGTTTTGTATTTTTTTATGGCTTCTCTAGTATTACAATACCTGAACTGAGTAGTTGTGACAGAGATAGTGTATCCCAAAGACTAAAATATTTATTTTCTGGTCTTCCACAGAGTTTGGCAATCCCTCCTTTAAAGCCATGGACAAAAATGATCTGAGCTTCATTTCTCGCATCAAGAAAATGAAGATGATATCAGTACCGGCTTCATGGAATTGCTGTTAAAGACTAAATGTAATATTGCATAACATGTGAGTAGCCAGGACTCAGGTTAAGATCAATAAATAATAGCCAGGACTATTATTATTAGCTAAGAAATGTTAGTCTGGGATAGAAAAGCCTAAGTTAGTTCAGACATCAGCTCCACTGTTAGCCAATTCTACCAAATTCATCATGTAGTAATTGATCTATGTGTTCTAGACAAATGAATAAAATTATAATAAAAATAACCCACGAGACATTTGTTTAGAGGGCTTAAAAGTTATAATAAGAAACATGTACATCATGGAATTCATGCTATTTCATCAATCAAAAATATAGGAATAATCCCTCTTTCTTTTGTTTGAAAAAATGATGAAGTCTGGTTTGATCACATCATTTTGTTGGAAATCAACATTATAGACAATGTAATAAACAGAGCAAAGGGAAGCACCAGGCTTCATCTAGTGTCAAAAGAGTTAACAGAAAAATAACAAAACATAATTAAGACGATATAAATAAAGCTGGGAGAGAGTTTTCCATGTTCCTTCTAAGCAGCTCCCTGACCCCCCCCCTCCCCCACTACCCCAGCTATGCTGTTCTCCACACCTGTGTGCAGAGCTCACCCCCATTCATTGCCTTCCTGTTACTCTCCCAGGTCAGGAAAAAACATCAATACCACCCTCCCAGAGGCCAGGGACTCCCAAATCAAACACATCTGTGAAAGAGTCCTATACAAGAACTACCAACCACTTACCTACCATAGAGAGAGAGTCTTGTTTCATCCCTTCTCTTTCTCCCCCTTACGCTACCCCCGTTCATCTTCACGAACCATTTAGGGCTGGAGAAAGACCAAAGGGCAATGAAACTCATGTGTGCAAAGACCCTGAAAGTGGAAAGGCTGTCCTTTGTTCTCACAAATACCTGGAGAAGAGCGAATAACAGAGCCAGAGGCTCTGAGTGAATACCAGAGCCAGAGGCCTTCCTGGGAAGCAGAACGAAGTGCTAGACAACCTCCCTCCATCAGCCACCGTCTGGGTAGCCTTCATAGAAAAGGAGGGGCTTTTGTTTCCACTGCTTTTTCCATCTCAGTTCTTGAATCCCAAAGGTAGGTTTGGAGGAGAGAACCTCTGGCCTCTCCTTAAAAGCAGTCACCTAGCACGCTTGCAAAAGTACACGAGAAAATATTTTTTCATCTACATTTCAAAGCAATCAGATTGCACCATTGAAATGCACAATTACCCACAGCAAGCAGAAGGCTGCCGTGAGGCAGTATTTTGTTTAGACTCCATTATTAAAACCCAAGGTTGCCTTTCTGATTTTTTCAGAAACATAAACCGTCACCGTTTCACCATTTGGAAGCTCCCAGCTTATCTGGGTAGCTGCCCCCGCAGTCTGATATTCTCACCACCATGAGGAACATCTGGGTCATAACAAGCAGTGAGGGCAAGGTCGTCTGGCACTCCTTGCACATGGGGGTGCGGGAAGCAGGCAGCCGCTGTCTCATGAGCACAGCCAGCATGGGGAGGAGCGGCTGCCTTCTGTGCTTCCACGGCTCCTGCGCCACACTCCCCCCGCTCCCATATTTTCTTCGTGTTGGATTCTTCATGATAATGGCATCTTTAAAAATAGCTTCCTCAAGAGGAAACATCCTAACCTAGCTTCCCGGAGCAGCAATAGAGACTAATTGCTCTTTTAAGCAGCTGAAAGCACCCTTGCCAACAATAATGAAAAGTTATGACCTTACCTCAAAGCCACACTTGAGAAGGAAGTTTAGCTGTTCACAGGGTAGTTCAGGCCAACTCCTGGGGAGAGAGGGATGCAAAGATATCTCAAACCCAAAGAGAAACAGTCTGATGAGCGGGCACCACATGCCTCTCACGGCTGTCTACACATCACCCCTTCCTCCAACCACGTTCCAACACTTCCAACCATTGTTCCAACTATCCAATCTTTCGTCCTCCAACACAGGTTTCCACACCACTCCTGGGCACTCTGCTTTTTACAGACAGGCTGAGCAATTCTCTCCACCTCCCAGGTTAGGGAGATGTCCTGAGACACAGAACCTTCTATGGAGTGAATAAAGGCTCTTCATCAATATCCTTCATGGGTTATGATGGGTACATACGCCAAAGGGGCTGTTACCTTGGAATTGGACAACACTTATTTCCACGTTAAGGGGTAAACATCAGCAAATGAGTTTTCCAAGTAATTGCCAACTCAGGCACAGAACTAGCACATTAAGGAAAAAATCCTAAAGATGCCTATAAATCCTGTAAAATGAGCACGCGCGCATACACACACACACACACACACACACACACACATACACACACACCCCCCCACCCCACCCCCCCCAGCACAGCCAGAAGGAACAGCCAGAAAGGCACTCCAGAAGCTGCCAGTCAGTGCCACAGACCCAAAGACCCATGGTGACCAGTCTGTGCAGAGGAAAGCCTAACGACCCATTCAAATTTCAGATCAAAATTCCCAACTGCAGTGTAAGTCTATCCTCCTTCTCTTCAATGTGCAAACTCCAAAAGTGGGCATGCCTGCCCAGGACACCAAGCTCTGTTCTGGCCTGGGCCACAAAGGTCTGTTTAGCTATCTGCTATGTCTTTCTTCCTCCTACTCCTAGAAACAATGGTTCCTAGAACAACACAGAGAAGACACCCTCATGACCCATCACCCAATCTCCCTTCCACAAAGGCATCTGAGAGACCAAAGGTAAAGTCCCAGTGGCCCACAATCTAGTGGCTGAGAACCCCAAGATTGGAACTTCAGAATCACAGCTTTAGAAGCATAACACCCTCATTGCACAGAGATGTGACCAGGCACCAAAATCAGAACTGACGGTGCACACAGCTTACCTGCATCTAGGTAAGTAGGACCACACAGAGATCAAATGAGAGACTGCAAGGTTATAAGTTGAGCTCATGGTTAGACCAGAGCCAGCTGTATATTTCTAAAGCATTTCTATAAGGCAACATACCCCAGCAAAGAACCATGCTTGACCCTATAAAATCAAAGCCTTTGCAATCTCCTGCCAGGGCAGTGCTTAAAAAATGCTGAGACATGTTACATCTTCCAGTCAAGATGGAGGTGTAGGTAAACACGGCTCACCTCCTTGTACAACCACAGCAAAAATTACAACAAGTATCACCCGGAATCATCCTAAAATTGAGCTGTATGGAAATCCAACAACCAAGGAATTAAAGAAGCCATATTCCTCCAGGTGGGTAAAAGGGGCAGAGATGTGCAGAGAGGCGTGGAGACACAGAGACACAGAATGGGTGGCCTCACACCACATATGGTAGATGAAAATCAGGAGAGATACCTCAGGAGCAAAGGATCCCAGCCCCACACCAGGCCACCCAGCCCAGGGTTCCAGCACCAGGCAGATAAGTGTCCCAAAATTTTGGCTGTAAAAACAGGTGGGGGTTGGGGTGATGAAAGAAACTGGGATTCTCAGGAGTCTCTCTTAAAGAGCTTGCAACAACCTTAGGACTTACACAGACTCACTCCCTTTGGGCTTCAGCACCAGGGCAACAGCAGGAAGGGCACCAGTGGCATATGAGGAGAAACTGAAGTGTCTGACATCAGGGTGAATGCTCGGAGACAGCTTCCTCCCAGACAAAATTCCAGAGGAGAGGCAGCATCATTGTCCCCTCTCTGAGCCCTCCCCAACACAGAGCCACAGAACGGTGAACTGGGTTGCCCGCCCTGGTGATCTTAAGGCACCACTGCCACCTAATTTACCAGTGCACTTTTCTACAACAGGCCACTCGACTAAGACAGGGAGTCAAGGCAGCTCTACCTAATATACAGAAACAAACACAGAAAGGCTGCCAAAATGAGGAGACAAAGAAATATGGGCCAAATGAAAGAACAGAACAAAAATCCAGAAAAAGAACTAAACAAAATGGAGATAAGCAATCTATCAGATGCAGAGTTCAAAACACTGGTTATTAGGATGTTCAAGGAACTCACTGGGTACTTCAAAAGCATAAAAAAGACCCAGGCAGAAATGAAGGCTATACTAAGTGAAATAAAGGAAAATTTACAAGGAAGCAAGAGTGGAATGGATGAAGCCAAGAATCAAACCAATGATTTGGAACATAGGAAGAAAAAACCAATCAGAACAGGAAGAAGAAAAAAGAATTAAAAAAAAAAAAAAGGATAGGCTAAGGAGCCTCTGGGACATCTTCAAATGTACCAACATTCAAATTATAGGGGTGCCAGGAGGAGAAGACAAAGAGCAAGAAATTGAAAAACTTATTTGAAAAAATGATGAAAGAAAACTTTCCCTAATTTGGTAAAAGAAGTAGACATACAAGTCCAGGAAGCATAGAGAGTCCCAAACAAGATGGGCCCAAACAGGACCCACCAAGACACATCATAATTAAAATGCCAAAGATTAAAGATAAAGAGATAATCTTAAAAGCAGCAAGAGAAAAGCGGAGAGTTACTTACAAAGGAACTCTTGTAAGACTATCAGCTGATTTCCCCAAAGAAACTTTGCAGGCTAGAAAGGACTGGCACGAAGTATTGAAAGTGATGAAAAGCAAGGACCTACAACCTAGATTACACTATCCAGCAAAGATGCCATTTAGAATGGAAGGACAGATAAGGTGTTTCACAGACAAGGTGAAATTAAAGGAGTTCATCGTCACCAAGCCATTATAATATGAAATGTTAAAGGGACTTAAGAAAAAGCAGCAGATTGAAACTACAAAAACTAAAAGGGCAACAAATTCAAAAGGGAAGTATTCCCAACTATCAACAACTGAATATAAAAAAATAACCTAAGCACACTGGCTGGCATGGCTGAGTGGATTGAGTGCCAGCCTGCAAATCAAAGGGTCGCTGGTTCGATTCCCAGTCTGAGCACATGCCTGAGTTGGGGGCCAGGTCCCCAGTAGCGGGCATGTGAGAGGAAACCACACATTGATGTTTCTCTCCCTCTCTTTCTCCTTCCCTTCCCATCTCTCTAAAAATAAATAAAATCTTTTAAAAAAATTAAAAAAACAATCTAAGCAAACAACCAGAACAGGAATAGAATCATAGATACGGAGATCCTTTGGAGGGCTATCAGTTGGGAGGAGGAAGGGAGAGAATGGAGAAAGGGAGCAGGGATTAAGAAGAACAAATTGGTGGATACAGAATAGACAGGGAGATGTTAAGAACAGTACAGGAAATGGAGTAGCCAAAGAACTTATATGCATGACCCAGGGAAATGAACTAAGAGGGGATTGCTGGAGGAAATGGGGGATACTGGGTGGAGGGGGGAAAAGGGGGAAAAATTGGGACAACTGTAATAGCATAATCAATAAAATATATTTTTAAAAATGCCGACATGATCTTCTTCCGCAGTTTACTTCTATAGAGTCTGTGCAAACCACCACCTTCTGCTTGCACTTGTCACTTCTTTTCTCAAGTGTGCTGCTCCTTTTTCTGTGAATTAATTTTATGTCAGCAACTCCCTTCACAAGGTGTGTATTTTTATTTCCTCCAATTAAAGAGGTCATGCATCCGGGACCCTAGAGTCTTCTCCTCCTGACTACTATCTTTTATTTTTTGCAGTACAGGCATTTTTTCCTTTTTATTAAATTTATTGGGGTGACACTGCTTACCAATATTATACAGGTTTCAGGTGCATAATTCCACAACACACCACCTGTACACTGCTGGTGCGTTCACCATGCCAAGTAAGTCTGCCTACTATCTCTTGACCTGAGCACGCATCCTTTGAGGTCTGACACTCTGGCCACTAACACACTGGGTTCCTTGTTCCTTTGCAAATGGACGTACTCCCCAAATTTTTCTACACTATCAACTTCTTCATGCCATTCCTTGCTATTTCCTATAAGGCATTCAGTTACCCAGCAGACCTCAAAAACATGGAGAGTGATAGCTAGCCAAGACATTGCGGGTACGTGTTCCTGTCTGTTCCCACTGCACTGCACAGCAGTGACTTGTTTCTAGGAGCAAAACATGGAACAAGAAGTATTCCCAAGCCTGAAGATTTCCTCTGTCTTAAAATCAGAACCAATGTCAATAGAAGAACAACTTCCAAGACCAGATAAAAGCCTTACTATTTTGTGGAAATAGGTATTCATCCAACACCTGAAATGAAGAGACAGTTAACGAGTGGGTGCCCTTCCTCCACCAGCTGGTGCAACTAAGAAAATAAGGGGTTTAGACTCCTATATCCACCCCCTCCAGTACTGCTCCAGGCACCTACACAATACTAAAAAAGCTAGAAAGTAATTTTTAAAGTTAATGTTTCCTGCTCTGTCCTACTCCCTGGTTCAGACCAGCAAATCTTTATTGCATGACTACTAGGTGCTGGGACACGAAGACTGTTCTTGAGCCCTCTGGAGGTGGTTAGAGACAGTAACAGTCTTTGCAATACATCATAGTTCAGGCCATGCTAGGACTGCATGGACCAGTCCTCCCGCGGCCTCCTCTTTCCTCCCAGCTGCTTTCCACAGCACCGTCAGCGCCGGGCCCCTGCTTGTGCACCGCGGTATTTCCAGCACCCCACACAGGCCTGGCTCACAGCAGATGTGCAATAAATACTTGCTGAGTCAACGTCTTACAATGTGGACAAGCCAAAAAATTATCTTCTTTTACTCTCTTTCGTATCCCTGAACCTGAGGCCCGAGTTCTCTCATTCTAATAGAGACTTCAGTTGCCCACACAGATAAAATGCACCCCAGAAAAAAATGTGTAAAATCTCCACCTGGAAAGGATTTCCTGAGAACTGAAGAGGCATGGCTCCGACATGGGTGTGGCAGTGGCG